TGTTACTGAGGTGCTTATGTCTGGTCCTTCTAGCACTAATGATTTGCAGCATGGAAAGCAACCAATTGTCTACACTAGGAGGGCAAAACAAGTCATTGACTCACCCCAGGACCAAGAAGTCTCCCTCAATCCAAGTAATTCCTCAGTTGACATTGATACTCCGGATTCTTTTCCCAATAGTATTCCTGTTGATCTTGATGTCCCTATTGCCTATCGTTAGGGATGTTCGTAGTTGTACAAAACATCCTGTATCTTAGTTTGTATCGTACGATGCCTTATCTCCAACATATCATGCTTTCACTTCGTGTATCTCCTCTGTATTTGTTCCTTCTAGTGTTTCAGATGCTCTCAGAAGGAAGCCATGCTTGCAGAGATGAAGGCCCTTGAGAAGAATGGTACTTGGGATATTGTTCCATTAGCTAGGGGTAAGAAACCAGTAGGCTGCAAATGTGTCTACACAATAAAGTATCATGCAGATGGAACAATTGAGAGATAAAAAGCTCGGATAGTTGCAAAAGGCTTCACTCAAACCTATGGGATTGATTATTTGGAAACATTTACTCCAGTTGCCAAGATGAACTCTATACGTGTCCTTTCTTTGGCAGTTAATTCGAATTGGCCTTTACATCAACTAGATGTAAAGAATGCTTTCCTTCACAGTGACTTGGAGGAAGAGGTGTATATGACTATGCCACTAAGGTTTAAGCTTCTTCTTTAAGCTACCTTTTTTTTTTTTTTTTGGGGGGGGGGGGGGGGGGGGGGGGTTGTTAATTAAGCAAATTCAATAAAAAACGTTCAAAAGGGCAACGCGTCCCATGAGTAACAAAAGAATCCTATGGACCCAAAGAAGAAATAAAATCAATTGTCTCCTCCAGGAAGGAACAATGCCTTCCAGAACCCCAAAAACATAAAAAAGTAATAAAAGTTTACTTAAGGACCACAAATGAGAACTCCTCTCCTTCAAAGGATATTTTATTCCTCTCCCTCCACAGACACCACCATAAGCACAACGGTGCCATCCTCCAAAAACCATAAGCATGTCCTCCCACAAAGCATCCTCTCTAAGCCTCAATCAGTCCTCTTGTGGATCTAGGTATCACCCACGACACCCCAAACATGCCTAACAACAGACACCAACAATTAAAAGCCACTGGACAGTGCAAAAGAAGATGATCTACCGATTCTCCATTACATTTGCACATACAGCACCAGTTAACTATTATTTGCCACACCTCCTTAAGTTGTCAATCGTCAAAATCTTGCCCTACACCATTGCCTAGGGAAAGAAGGTCACTTTTAGTGGCACTTTAGATCTCCACACTGATTTCCATAAAAACGTAATCCCTGTAAAGTCTGCGAGGCACTGGAAAAATGACGTCACTTTAAACCTTCCCTGAGTAGAAGGCACCCAAACAAGCGAATCGCCACTACGGTTTAAGCTTGCCAATGGTCAGAATTTAATGTGCAAGCTAAATAAAGCCTTGTATAGGTTAAAGCAGTCACCACGTGCTTGGTTTGAGAGGTTCAGCACTGCTGTGAAAAGAGTAGGGTATACACAGAGTTAGGCAGATCATACTCTCTTCGTCAAGAAGCACCAGGGCTACACCACTGCCCTTATTGTATATGTTGATGATATTGTTATCACTGGAAATGATCCAGAAGAGATTCATCAAATGAAGTCATTCTTGGGGATACAGTTCAAGGCTAAAGACCTCGGATCATTGGGATACTTTCTTGGCATCGAGATATGCAGATCGAAGAAAGGGGTGTTCATTTCTCAACAGAAGTATGTACTAGATTTGTTGGCTGAAATAGTTAGGCTTGGAGCTAGACCTATTGATATTCCCATTGAGCAGAACCATAGGCTTAATGATGTAAATGGAGACCCATTAGACGATGTGGGGAGATTTCAGCGATTGGTTGGGAGATTGATTTACCAATCTCTCACGCGCCCAGTTATTGCCTACGTTGTTAGTGTGATTAGGTAGTATATGCATGCTCCACGTACACCTCACCTTGAGGTAGGTCATCATATTCTTCCTTACCTCAAGGATTCACTTGGTAAGGGGATATTGTTTGGCTATCATGGCCACTTGCATGTTGAAGCCTATACTGATGCTGATTGGGCAGGGTCTGTGACAAATCGACAATCTACTTCAGGATATTGCACATTTGTTGGAGGTAATCTGTAGTAGCCAGATCTAGTGCAGAGGCTGACTTCAGATCCATGGCACATGGATTTTATGAGTTGTTATGCCTATGAACAATGTTGGATGAGTTGGGTTATCCTATTCGCGAGTCAATGAAGTTGTATTGTGACAACAAGGCTGCTATTAGCATTGCCCATAATCCAGTTCAACATGACAGGACAAAGCACATTGAAGTCAATTGACACTTTATCAAGGAAAAGCTTCGTCTTGGGCTGATTTGTACTCCATACGTCAACACACGTGATCAGGTTGCTGATGTTTTGACTAAGGGTGCGAGCAAGACTTGCTTACAAAATCTGTTAGTCAAGCTGAGCATGATAGATATCTTTGCACCAGCTTGAGGGGGAGTGTTATCAGGGGCTTATGTGTAATTTTTTGAAACTTGTTATTATAAATATAATGTGGTGGAAGGATGAAAATATTCTTTCATTCTTTCTCTCTTTCCCTATCTCTCTCTCTTTTTCTCCAATCCTCTTTCTTCTCTTTTTCTTCTTATACTTTACTATTTGATTTGATTATCTCTTAAAGTCAACAGTGTTCTATCGAGTAATTAAGCCAAAGGACTTCTGACAAGGACGAACAATCTATTGACTTTGTGAGACATGCACAGTTTTACGCCTAAGTTTCGTTGAACGGAGATGGATTTACTTGGAGTATTTTGGGGACCGTAGATCCTAAGTTGAATGGAAACATATGATTTATGTAACCGACCCCAAGTAGTTGGGAAAAAGACTTGGTTGTTGTTGTTAGATGCTAAGTTGACTTGCAAAAGTGATTACTGTAATTCAAAGATATTGTGGCTAATAAATAATTGAGCATTATGATCAACACTTCGAGTTTGTCCTGAAATGGTGTGAAATGACTAGAAATAATATTATTTTGCCAAAGTTTTACACACAGAAGGACTAGTTTAAAAAAGGTGGGGGAAAGATGTGATTCTTTCAAAAAAAAAAAAAAAAAAAAAAGAAGTTCAAACAATAGAAAATATAATGATATATAACATACTGTAATCTATGTATACATGAACAGCATAAGTCATCCCAGAGTATTAAATGTAAATTGTTTCCCTCAAAAGTCCACAACTGCTGAAAACGGAGATTTCTATAAAAGGATCAAGACCTTATTTTTAATCCATCACACAAACTCAATCCTAGAATCCCCAACCTTCCGTCTTATAAAAAAGTAAAAAAATAATAATAATTACAAAAGAAAAAGGCACAACCCGAGAATTCAGGAAGTAAACAGGACAATGACAATAAAGACTACAAAGCTACTATAGGCTAAAGCCCCCAAACTGCTACTCAAAAATCAAAGCAACCAAAAACTCGATGAAGGAATCAACTTAGAATTTACACACCCCAACTAAAAGCAGTCAAAAAAGAGGAACTCAAAAACCCATAATAAGCGACCTTCAGAAGACACCTTCTGGGGTAAAATGGAGCCACCTTTCATGTCAGACTGCCACTCAGGCAACCTCTCTGCCAGCATCCCCATGATTCAACAACCCATCCTCAAGGAACCCACAAATAAGAACAAAATCAGATTCCGCTTATCCCAAGAAACAACATAGCACACCAGAAGATGACCAACTGTTACTCTATTCTTTTATACATGCAATAACAATTTGAGGACATCTTCCCCCTTAGCACCAGACTACCAATGGTCAAGATTTTCTATAAGCAGTTATTTAAGTAAAGAAAACAACCTTAGAACGTACTTCAGTGCTCTAAGTACCTTTTCCTAGGAAAAGGAGCTTCAGTTCCAGCCTCCAGGTAACACCTAAGATATTTAGAAGCATTACATCTCAAACTAACCTTCCTATAGCCCTGCCTCCCTAGTATATTGATCTCAATCAACTAGTCAAAAAAATGAATCCAACACCTGTATTACCAGCCCTAAACAGGCCTAGTGAAACAAGATTCCATACCACCCATTTTGTCATAAATACTAGTATGACTAGCCATAAAGTGCATTCTTCTTAACTACAATGCCAGATATCCGAAAATACATTACTGACAGCCATATCCTCAAACCAAAAACCGCACCATCTGTTCGTCTGCCACATTGTACAATAAAATCACAACATCTGTTCGTCTGCCACATTGTACAATGTGCCCAAAACTACTCTAGACCCTATTTTTATCCCTTCCCAACACTTTCTTATCCCTTTCCACAGACCGACCCATGCGAGCCTAACATCTGAGACCCACTCTCCTCTGGTATACTTTCCAGGCACTATCCTCCTCCGCAGACTACTCTGTCCAAGGTGTACCTTCATAACCACTAACCAACAAGCCTCCAAAATCATATCAACCTTCTCATATCTCCAGAGGGATGAATTTTTTGTACTTTAATTGTTCTGTTGGATTTTCCATCACTTCTTTCCCTGAATGAATTCCATTGTAGCAAACGAAGCCAAAACTTTCTGTCAAATTTCTATTTCTATTTTGACAAAACCTTTTAACTTTATATGATTAAATTTCCTTAGAATCAATATATTGCCCAATACAAAAGTAATAATAATAATAAAATAAAATAAAAAATAAAAAATTGATAAGTATTGCCCAATACAAGAAATTTGAAAGTAACGCATGGTGAACATCTTTAAGGAAAGACTCAACACAATTGTTGATATATTATATTTTATTGATCACTAAAATAAGACAACATTTATGTGGAAATCAACTGTTTACGTTCTGGTCAAAGTATAGAAACTTTATCATGAAAAATAATACTCTCATTTTTTTTTCTTGTACAGATAAAAGTTTGACAATCAATGGGAGAACCAACCTTATGCCTAAGGCGCCGCATAAATTCTTCAAAATTGGGTCGCCAAAGAACTTCTTTCTTTGTTTTTTCAGCCCCATCTATTGCATCTGACTCTAAATCGCCCTGCTTGCGCTATAAAATGAGAAGTTATAAGCACATAATTGAACCAAGTAAATTCAAATAGAAATCACACAACAACCTTCTCCCCAACTGGCACACTAGTGGGGTGTTCTTTGCTATTTTCTTCATCAACATCAATCTCATTCTATGTTTGAACTAAAAATATTTGTGATTCCATAGGAACTGCTTCAGATAAAGCTTGTTCCTCTAAAGTCTTTGATTCTTCTGCCATCTGTATCCATGTGTAAATCAAAAGATTAGATTTTTTTTTTTTTTTTTTTTATAAGTATCAAAAAATTCAAAATTTAAATGATTCAAACTTATCAACAACAAGAGGTACATGGAGCATTTTCAATAAGCTATGAATCAAATATATTTAAAAAAAAAAAAAAAAAAAAAAAAAAAAAAAAAAAGAAAAGATGAGTCCAATCTAAAAAGAAAAAAGGATCATAATTTACTGATTTTCTTTACCGCAAAACTTAAAAAGAAAAAGTGACATCCATAGGCCCAGGATGTGGGGTTGTTTTGTACCCAAGACCACCAACCCATCGCTCACAGAAGGATCCCTTAACCATTGCAAATAAAAGAAATGGCCATATTCATTTATGTTAACTTCCTCAAAATTATCTTAGATGACATTGACAAGTCAATTTTCAATCACTCAATTCTGATGCAATACTGCAACAATTTTTACAGCTGTCAAGTATCAAGATTGACTAGACTCCAACCTTGTCAATTTCATAAAAAAGCAATTCTACTGTCCCAAAATGAATAAAAAGAGAACAAATAAAAATTGTGAGGGCAAAGCAAATCAATAATCACGAATCACGATTGTATAAATAACTAACTAGTTTTTTGCTTCTATACCAAAAAGAAAAATAAAACAGAAAAGAAGAAGAAAAGAAAGAAGTTATCAGCTAATGTACTTGATTGTAAATCAATTACCATATCAGCCTTTCAAACTTTCTTCTTCACAGAAGTTTCTTCTTCATCTGGTGGTGCGACGTTTGGTCCATGAGCTGGGCAGCATTCCACATACTGGGCATTAACAAGTTTATTAAAATTTTCCTTCACAGCATCCTGAGCCGTACAATTTCCTGTGTAAAAAGAAATAAAAAATTAACATAAAAACTAAAAAAAAAAATTGGTGTGGAAGTAAATACTAAAGCACAACGAAATTCTTTTCTAGGTTCTTATATTCCGCACTGGGTGGAAAGGGGGAAATCATCAATCCTACACAAAATTTAGAAGTTCCTTGGACTATTTTAAAATAGACGACAATTACAGAATATTAATATTGAACGTCTTCACCAAGGACCAGGAAAATAGCCCTTGAATAATCCATATTCTGCATCTTTCAAGCTAAACTCACAAGAAAAGTATCATCTTGCAAAGAAGACATATTCATCAAGAGAAAGAATTATCCAAACTACAGAGGAAGGCCTCTGATACCTTCTTTAAAAACCCAAAATCTACACTGACAAAACAGACAACGAATTTTACGTTGACCGATCAAAAGAACAATGGCAAAACAAATGGTTGATATTCTCGTGATGAGACTCATTATTTGTCATTTGGTAACACAGTTGCGCTGACAAAGATAAACTAAAGCAGAACCTCTCCAAGAGTACAATTGTGGAGGGAAAAAAATCACACCAATCGCAAAACAACACGTGGCAACAAAAGGCAGCCCACAACAAAGTTAAAAAAACTAGAAGCCCATAATCAAACATAAGCTCAGCGAAGGAAGGCCTACTTAAAACAAAGGCAGAATGAACAGGCCCAATTTTGACAAGGCCCAAACTCCATAACGCCCGCAATAATGTCGAATGCACGATCTGCAGGCATAAATTACCCACGTTTGGGAATAAAAGCCAAGAAACGGCTCCATGTAAATTCCTAAGCAAAAAACACTTATAAATATAGCCTGAACAAAGGTGAAGCTCATGAAACTCATAATATTACTACTATCTCAAAGATTTGCTTGCTCCCTTTTTGATTTTTTCTGTGTGCTCTCCGTAGTCGATCTCTTTAGGTGTTCGGGTGTAAAAAATTGCACCCACAACAACCCATACAAAGCTTTACACAAATGGATGAACCGGGGTAAATCAGATACTGAAATAAAAACATAAAAAGGATTTCACTGAGAAGAAAGCTTCTGTTTACTTCCAAGCTCAAGAATCTTCCTTCTAAAAGTTTCTATTTTAGGGGGGAGGAGAGTGGGCACTTAAAGAAATCAATGTTTTCCCTTTTACTACCATCTTAAGATGTATCCATAGAATTCATACATATCACCTTATACAACTTTGAAGAGACCATTGGTGTTCAAACAAAGTAACAATTATAAACTTCACAACATTTGGTAATCAGAACTTTTCAATCCAAATGAGTTTATGTTTTCGCTCAATATAATTAGGGTAACTACAATAAACTCTACTAAGGTTTGGCCTAATTGCAAATAAATTGAAGGTTTGCCTTTTTTTGCAAAGACCACCCTATGTGAGAATTTATGTGAATTTACTTATCTACCCTCATTATTATATTGTTAATATGCTCAGACTTATGGCATAGATTATCAGGAGACTTTTAACCCTGTTGCCAAGATGAATACCATCCGTGTATTATTTTCCGTTGCTGCAATTCGATCTTGGCCTCTATTTCAGTTAGATGTCAAGAATGCCTTTCTTAATGGTGATTTGCAGAAGGAGGTGTACATGATTCCTCCTCCGAGCTTTCGTTCTCCTGCTCATTCTAGTATGGTATGTCGTCTTCGTCGTTCTCTATATGGCCTCAAGCAGTCTCCTCGAGCTTGGGCTGATCGCTTTGGCACTGCTATGCTCAAGTTTGGTTTCCATCAAAGTGCAGCTGATCATACCTTGTTTTTACGTCATTCAGGCGGTAAGACAGTTGCTCTCATTGTGTATGTCGATGATATTATTCTTACCGGCAATGATACTACCGGAATTAATGAGGTTAAGAGCTATCTTGGCTGTCAGTTTGAGATTAAGGATCTTGGTCCCCTACGGTACTTCTTGGGCATTGAGGTGGCTCGCTCTAAGACTGGCATTTTCATCTCTCAAAGCAAGTATGTTCTTGACTTGTTTTCTACTTCTGGTTAGCTTGGCGCTCGTCCTACTGATACTCCGATTGAGCAGAATCATCGGTTGGCTGATTCTGAGGGGGAGTTGTTGTCAGATATTGGTCAGTATCAACGACTTGTGGGGAAGCTCATCTGACATTGCTTCTGCCGTGAGTGTCGTGAGTCGATTCATGCACTCTCCTCGTGCCCCACACCTTGATTCAACTATTCGGATCCTTCACTACTTAAAAGGGTGTTCAGGCCGTGGTATTTTATTTGCCAATCATAGTCACTTACATGTTGAGGCTTGGACAGATGCTGATTATGCAGGATCAATTTCAGATAGGAGGTCTACTTCAGGTTATTGTACCACTATTGGTGGTAACTTGGTTACTTGGCGCAATAAGAAGCAGGATGTTGTCTCTCGGTTTAGTGCAGAGGCAGAGTATAGGGCGATGACTCATGGGGTAGGTGAGTTACTTTGGCTGAAAACCTTGATGACAGACTTGTGCCTTCCAGTGTCTCTTCCATTCTCACTCTACTGCGACAACAAGTCTACCATTAGCATAGCAGCAAATCCCGTTCAGCATGACATGATTAAGCATATAGAGGTGGACCGTCACTTCATTCGAGAGAAGATCATCTCTGGTCAAATTTGCACTCCATTTGTCACAAGCTCTCAGCAGCTTGCAGACATTCTTACAAAGGGCGTAAGCAAGATTGTGTTTGAGAATGCATTGTTCAAGTTAAGCGTTTCAGATATCCACGCACCAACTTGACTATGATACCACGATTTATGGTATGACTTACCATAATAGCAGAGATTTGACTATGCTATAGAATATGCCATAGAATATGCTTTAGAATAAGTTGTGATTTGATTTTGATTTGATTTAGTTTCCTTTCTTGTAATATGAGCATGTGCTCATTTTATTTATAAATACTAGAGATGTGAATGAGTAATTCATATCATTTAAGCCTTACTGCAATTCTCTCATTTCTCTTCTTTTTATATATTTCTACTGTACCCAAGACCACCAGCCCATCGCTTACAAAAGGATCCCTTAACCATTGCAAATAAAAGAAATGGCCATATTCATTTATGTTAACTTCCTCAAAATTATCTTAGACGACATTACAAGCCAATTTTCAATCACTCAATTCTGATGCGATACTGCAACAATTTCTACAGCTGTCAAGACTCAAGACTGACTAGACTCCAACCTTGTCAATTTCATAAAAGAGCAATTCTACTGTCCCAAAATGAATAAAAAGAGAACAAATAAAAATTGTGAGGGCAAAGCAAATCAATAATCACGATTGTATAAATAACTAACCAGTTTTTTGCTTCTATACCAAAAAGAAAGATAAAACAAAAAAGAAGAAGAAAAGAAAGAAGAAGTTATCAGCTCATGTACTTGATTGTAACTCAATTACCTTATCAGCCTTTGAAACTTTCTTCTTCACAGAAGTTTCTTCTTCATCTGGTGGTGCGACGTTTGGTTCATGAGCTAGGCGGCGTTCCACATACCGGGCATTAACAAGTTTATTAAAATTTTCCTTTACAACATCCTGAGCCATACAATTTCCTGTGTAAAAAGAAATAAAAAATTAACATAAAAACCAAAAAAAAAAAAATTGGTGTGGAAGTAAATACTAAAGCACAACGAAATACTTTTCTAGGTTCTTATATTCCGCACTGGGTGGAAAGGGGGAAATCATCAATCCTACACAAAATTTAGAAGTTCCTTGGATTATTTTAAAATAGATGACAATTACAGAATATTAATATTGAATGTCTTCACCAAGGGCCAGGAAAATGGTCTTTGAATAATCCATATTCTGCATCTTTCAAGCTAAACTCACAAGAAAAGTATCATCTTGCAAAGAAGGCATATTCATCAAGAGAAAAAATTATCCAAACTACCGAGGAAGGCCTCTAATACCTTCTTTAAAAACCCAAAATCTACACTGCAAAACAGACAATGAATTTTATGTTGACCAATCAAAAGAACAATGGCAAAACAAATGGTTGATATTCTCGTCATGAGACTCATTATTTGTCATTTGGTAACACAGTTGAGCTGATAAAGATAAACTAAAACAGAACCTCTCCAAGAGTACAACCCATACAAAGCTTTACATAAATGGATGAACCAGGGTGAATCAGATACCGCAATAAAAACATAAAAAGGATTTCACTGAGAAGAAAGCTTCTGTTTACTTTCAAGCTCAAGAATCTTCCTTCTTAGAGTTTCTATTTTAGGGGGGAGGAGGGTGGGCACTTAGAAATCAATGTTTTCCCTTTTACTACCATCTTAAGATGTATCCATAGAATTCATGCATATCACCTTATACAACTTTGAAGAGTCCATTGGTGTTCAAACAAAGTAACAATTATAAACTTCACAACATTTGGTAATCAGAACTTTTCAATCCAAATGAGTTCTATGTTTTCGCTCACTATAATTAGGGTAACTACAATGACCTCCACTGAGGTTTGGCCTAATTGCAAATAAACCGAAGGTTTGCCTTTTTTTGCAAAGGCCACCCTATGTGAGAATTTTATGTGAATTTACTTATCTACCCTCATTATTATATTGTTAAAAATGGTCAAAATACCTGAGAATGTCAAATGACTATTTTGGCCCCTATACTTACAACCACAGAATTGTTACATATATATATATATATGTATGTATATATACACACACACATAAATACACATATGTATATATACTTTGTAAAATACATCTTGGTCAAATTGTCATCTGTAGAAGCACGTCGCGCAGGGGTTTCCAAGCGGGGTCGCTCATCCGCTTGAAGAACTGGCAAGACATATAACTTCAGATCTTTGGTGAGACTTAGGCAACTGGATTGGCGGTAGTGGATTGATCAGTGGTGCTGATTTTTGTACATAGGGGAGGTCTTTGAATAGGCGATTTCAAGATTGAAAAGAATCTCTATATTGCCGTACAAAGAATGGTTTACAATGCTTTAGTTAAATAGGAAATACAAGGAGCTACGAAAAAAGAAACTACAGGCTGTGACTACAGGCTGTAACAGGAAACTACTGGCTGTGACTATAGGCTATAACTATAGGCTGTACACTAACAGAATTTCCTAATCTTAGTCATTGACCATCTATATTTACACACCTATCATATCCCCTAAAATCTGGTCTTATTAAAACCGAATATCTCTTTTTCAACACTCCCCCTCAAGCTGGCTTGTAGATGTCTTCCATAGCCAGCTTACTTCTTAAAACTTCAAACTGTCTCTCGTGTAGTCCTTTGGTAAGGATGTCTACAGCTTGTTCAGTAGTAGAGACATAAGGAATGCAAATCATACCACAGTCAAGCTTTTCCTTGATAAAGTGTTTGTCAACTTCCACATCTTTGGTTCTGTCGCGGAGGACTGGATTATGAGCAATTGAAATGGCAGCCTTGTTGTCACAATAGACTCTCTTTGGAGGAGAAACAGTAACCTTCAAATCTTCAAGGAGTCTTTTTAACCACATAGCTTCGCAAATCCCATGGGTGAGTGCTCTAAACTCGGCTTTTGCACTACTCCTCGCTACTACATTTTGTTTCTTGCTTCGCCATGTGACTAAGTTTCCTCCAATAAAGGTGTAGTATCCTGAGATAGATCGTTTATCAACTATACCACCTGCCCAATCAGCATCTGTGTACACCTCTACTTGCAAATGACCTTGTTTCTTGAACATAAGTCCTTTACCTGGTGAGCCCTTTAAGTACCTCAGAATCCTGTACACTGCTTCAAAGTGTTCCTGTCCAAGAGAGTGCATGAACTGACTCACCATACTGACTGCAAATGCTATATCTAGGCGTGTGTGCGATAAGTAAATTAGTCTTCCCACTAATCTCTAATATCTTTCACGATCAACCATATTATCGGGTTTGGAAGCTTCTAACTTCAGGTTGACTTCAATTAGAGTGTCAGCAGCTTTACACTCAAGTAGTCCTGTCTCATTAAGCAAATCAAGTACAAATTTTCGTTGATTCGTAAAAATTCCTTCTCTTGACCTGGCAAATTCCATTCCAAGGAAAGTATTTTAATGCTCTCAAATCTTTGACTTCAAAATCTTTAGCAAGTTTCTTCTTCCAGTCAACTCTTCAATGTCATCACCAGTCAAAATTATATCATCCACATACACAATTAAAACGGCAATTTTCCCTTCCTCACCGTGTTTGTAGAACATGGTATGGTTTACCCGACTCTGATGATACCGATGACTCTTCACAGCCTTTCCAAAGCGTTCAAACCACGCTCTTGGAGACTTTTTCAAACCGTACAGGGATTTTTTGAGTTTACAGACTTTGCTCTGACCGTGTTTTCCTTCGAACCCAGGTGGCAAGCTCATAAACACTTCGTCTTCCAAGTCTCCATTTAAAAAGGCATTTTTTATGTCCAACTGATGTAATGGCCAGTTAGAATTGATTGCCAACGACAATAAAACTCGGATAAAATTTATTTTTGCTACAGGAGCAATCATCTCTTGGTAATCAATGCCGTATGTAAAACTGGAGATTTGTATATAAAGAGAACAGAGATACAGAGAGAGAGAAAGAGAGAGAGAGAGATAGCAAGAGAGCAGAGTTTGAGGCTCAGCCCTCATTTCCCATATATATTTAACCCTAAAACATAAAGGGGGTTATATACAACACAAGAAAGGCCTATTTACATAATGGCCACAAATCATATATCTAATTACAATAGGACCCCAGCATAAATACATATATACATATAAGTGTTTTAACACTCCCCCTCAAGCTGGAGAATATATATCATATAATTCCAGCTTGGAACAAATCGTTTTTAACCAATTATGACCAAGAGCCTTAGTAAACATATTAGCTAATTGATCTTCAGACTTCACGAATGGAGTAGAAATGATTCCACTTAATATTTTCTCTAGAGTGAAGTGACAATCAACTTCAATGTGCTTGGTTCTTTCATGAAACACCGGATTGGATGCTATGTGAATGACTACTTGGTTATCACAGAACAGTGGAATAGGAGTCTTGACTATTAACCCAAGTTCTTCAAGAAAATGTTGTGTCCATGTTAACTCACTAGAGGTATGGGCAATCGCCCTGTACTCTGCTTTAGAGCTAGACCGTACTACAACTATTTGCTTTTTACTTTTCCATGTAACGAGATTTCCACCAACAAATGTACAATAGCCTGTAGTAGATTTCCTATCTAAGGGAGAACCAGCCCAGTTAGCATCTGTGAAACCTGTCACATTAAGATAAGCATTAGGTTTATATAGTAATCCAAAACCTGGAGCTTGTTTGAGATATCGAATAATTCGAAGAACAACATTCCAATGTGGTACTCTAGGAACACTCATGAACTGACTTACAACACTAACTGCATATGAAATGTCAGGTCGGGTGATAGTGAGATAAATTAATTTCCCAACTAGACGTTGATATCTGCCATGATCGTCAAACAAATCACCCTCATCAAGTAATAAATTTATATTTGGGTCCATAGGAGCATCAGCAGGGCGAGTACCTAACTTACCTATTTCTGTTAACAAGTCCAACACATATTCCCTTTGAGATAGACTTATACCTTCCTTGGATCTAGCAACCTCAATACCCAAGAAATATTTGTGTTTACCTAGATCCTTGGTATGAAACCGATTCTGTAAGAACATTTTTAACTTTGCAATGCCGTCAGAATTATCACCTGTTATAACAATATCATCTACATATACCATAAGAAATATAAAGCCAGTTTTAGTATGTTGGTGAAATACTGAATGATCTGTCTGGCATTTGTTAAGGCCAAAGGAAAGTATCGCCTTAGAGAATTTTCCAAACCAAGCCCTTGGAGATTGTTTCAATCCGTATAGGGCCTTTTTAAGACGACATATAGCATAACGAGAATCCCCCTGAGCAATAGATCCAGGTGGTTGCTCCATGTAAACCTCTTCATGTAAGAAAGCATTTTTCATATCTAATTCAAACAACGGCCAATTACAATTGGTGGCAATGGAAATAAGGATTCAGATAGAAGAAATCTTTGCAACAGGAGAAAAAGTCTCATCATAATCAATACCATAGGTTTGTATCCCTATGCAACAAAGCGAGCCTTTAATCGCTTAACAGATCCATCATGGAGATATTTGACAGTGTAGACCCACTTACAACCAACCGTTTTGGAGCCAGGAGGTAAGGAAACAAAGTCCCATGTCCCATTATGATGAAGAGCTTCCATTTCATCTATCATGGCTTAGCGCCAAGCTGTATCAGATAGAGTATCCTGCATAATTTTTGGAACAGCAGTAGTAAATAACGTAAAATGAGGATGATACCTTTTTATAGGAAACAAAGTTAGATATGGGGTGTGCAGTGACACACGAGCAAACACCCTTACGTAATGCAATAGGAAGATCATCAGTAGCAGGAGGAGCCTCAATGGAAGTAGACTATTTGGGGGGGGGGGGGGGGGGGTAGTGGCGGTGGCACAGGAGGTGGTTGTGGTGGGTCACAGGGTAATGAATGTGACACAACAGGCAACGAAAGCAGCAGCTCGATATCTAAAGATGAACTACGTGAAGAAAAATAAGGAGTATTCTCAAAAAAGGTAACGTCCATGCACACAAAAGCTTTACGAGTGCTAAGATCCCAACATTTATAACCTTT